TAAAAAAACCCCACAACCACAGTGCTTCCTTCACTCCCTCTGTCACAGCCATGTACTCTGCCACTATAGTAGAAAGTGTCACTGTTTCTTGTAACATTGATCGCCAACTAAGTCGAGCACCATATCTTTTGAACACATAACCATTAGATCACCATCATGATTTGAATCCACAAATCTGCTAACGTGACATGTATCCCCACCAAAACATAAACCCATATCAATCATGACTTTTAAATATTTCAGGACCCATTTCACCGCTTCCCAATGTGCCTTCCCCGAGTTTGCCATGTACCTACTGACCCACACCAACCGCTTGTGCAATATCTGGACATGTAGACACCATGCCATACATCAACTACCGACTGCACTAGCATAAGGTACACACTCCATGTGTGCCTTCTCTTCTATTGTAGTAAGAGACTATTACTAAAGTGCTTCATATGTGGAACCAATGGAATCACTACTAACTTAATATCTTTCATCCCGAACTTCAATCACCCACTCAATTTAACCTTTCTGGCTCAAGAACAATTAATGGCTCGACCTCTCTCTTCTAATCTCCATACCCAATATTTTCTTGGCAGCACTCATGTCCTTCATCTCAAACTCTTCACCAAGTTGATTTTTCAACATATCCATCTCTACCTTGCGCTTCGAAGCAATAAGCATGTGATCTATATACAAAAGAAGATAGATATAGTCACCTCCACAAAGTTTTTGCAGATAAACACAAGAATCATACTTACTCCAAGAGAACTCATGCTTTACATGAAGGAGTCAAATCTCTTGTACCACTGTCGAGGATATTGCTTCAATCCATAAAATGATTTCCTCAAACGACATACATGACGTTCTTTGTCCACAACCTCGTATCGCTCAGGTTGATGCATATACATTTCCTCATCCAAGTTCCCATGCAAGAAGGCGGTTTTTACATCTAGTTGTTTCCGCTCCATATCACCATGAGCAACAATACTCAATAGCACCCAAATGGAAGTGTGCTTCACTATCAGAGAAAAGATCTCATTATAGTCCACTCCCTCTCTCTGTGCAAACCCCTTATCCACTAGCCTTGCCTTGTATCTTGTACCACTAAGCTTGGAAGGATCCTCTTTCTTCTTGTATACCCATTTACAACCAATGGCTTTCTCCCTACAGGCAATGGGACTACCACCTATAGTTGGTTCTTTCGAAGAGACTCCATTTCCTCTTCCATAGCAGCCAACCAACTCTAACTATTATTATTCTGAATAGCTTCCTTGAAGGAGACTGGCTCATCTTCCTCCACTAAGAGTGCGTACTCAACCAAGTTTTCTTGCCCATAATGCTTCAAGGGTTGATCAGACCCCAACTTTTGAACCTTTTTATATGCTCGCCTCGACCTAGTGAAAACCGAACTGTATTTGAGCTCTTGTTCATCTGATTCATGTACATTTTCTTGATGAACCGTCACATATTCAATCTCATCATGATTATCTCCATGGATCTTCCCCTTAAAAATGACTAGAACCTTGTTAGCTTTTAGGTTCTATTTCCACCACTTGAGACTTAATCGTCTCAATGTCATCACCACCAGGCACCGTAGCTTTCAAAGTAGCTACCTTGGAGTTCTCATCAAAAGTAACATCTCTGTTGATTATAAACTTGGAATCTTCTAAACACCAAAGGTGATAGCCTTTCACACCAGATGCATATCCCAAGAAAATTACCTTCTTGGATCTTGTTTCAAGCTTTCCCTCACTAACATGATAATAAGTTGTGTATCTGAAGATTCTGAGTTTCTCATAATCTGCATATTACCTGACCATACCCTATAGGTACATCTCCATCTAAAGACACATGAGGAGACCAATCCGATTGACAATGTAGCAAGTTTGTATCAACAAACTCTTCCCACCATTCTCTGCCCAGAACAACATGTGATCATATACACATCACTCTCTCGCAATGTGCGGTTTGGCCTCTCCGCGACCCTGTTTTGTTGCGGTATTTCCTAACCATCCAATATCTAATAATTTCTTCCTAATCACGAAACTCCTTGAAGGAACCCTCTGTATACTCTATACCGTTATTAGAAAGTAGTGTCTTCAATTTCTTGTCCGCTCTGTTCTCAATCATTGCGTTCCACTTCTTGAACGTGTCAGATACCTTATTCTTATGTTTCAGAAAATAAATCCAAACATATCTAGAATGATCATCCACAAAAGTGACAAAATATCAGGAACCTCCCTTGGAAGTGACTGAAGCCGGACTCCAAACATCTGTGTGCACATAGTCCAAAATTCCTCTGCTTTTGTGTTTGCTTGACTTGAATAAACTCGATGTGCATTACCGTACAAGCAATGCTCACAAAAATCCATACAAGGCTTCTTCAAGTTCTTTAACAAACCTTATATACCAAGCAAATTTAGACCTTTTTCTGACATATGCCTAAGTTGCCTATGCCATAACCGAGTGCTCTTACATGGGTCTGCACCACTAACATTCGTTCCAATCATCACGCTTTCTGTCACTGTTATACGCGAAAGAACATAAAGGTGTCCTTGACAAATACCTTTCATTACAACCAAAGAACCAAGAACAACCTTATTTACTCCATACCATGTAACTATCTTACACCCACCGCATTCCATGACACCAACATAAATGAGATTCTTCTTCAACTTTGGAACATGTCGTATATCCAATAAAGTTCTGACCACTCCATCATGCATTCTGATTCTAATAGAACCGAGCCCAACTGTTTTGCAGGAACGATTATTCCCCATCACTACGTTTCCACATCTAGGCTTCTATAGTTAGTAAATCGCTTCCTATTTGGCATATATGCTAAGAGCAACCTGAATCAAGAATCCATTTAGCGGATATTTCATCATTGGAATTGACAAAGTAACAGTCATCGTTGCTTCCATCTCCCGAAGCATTACTAGCCTCTTGTTTCTCTTGTGCCTTTCCTTTCTTGTTGTTTCTGTCTTTGTTCCATCCTACTCTCTTGTTAGAACAATTTGCTTTGTAATGCCCGAGTTCACCACACTTGAAACACCGTCTTTCTACAAGAGGTCTAGATTTTGATCTAGACTTTCCTCCCTTGCCTTTTCTTCTCTCATTGCTTCTACCTCTTGCAAACAATCCTTGTGTTTGTTCTTTGTTACCACTAGCAGCAACCATGTCACTGGTTGCAATCTTTCAAAGATCATCCGCTAGAATTGACGTTCTAGTCTCATCCATCCTAACACTATCACCCACAAGCATCAATTTGTGCACAAGATTCTCATAAGACTTCGGCAATGAACGAAGTAGTAAAAGTGTTTGATCCTTATCTTCTACCTTCACATCAATGTTCTTTAAATCTAATATACACCTATCAAACTTACTAATGTGTTCCCGGATTAGAGAACCTTCATCCATATTGCAAGTAAATAATTTGGACTTCAAGTAGATCCTATTTGTTAGAGTTTTCGTCATGAAATTTTCCTCCAACTTTTGCCTCACTGCAACCGCTGATGCCTCATTATCAACCAAAAAAGCAACATCCTTTCAAGGCATAAAATGATCAATGCTCGTGCTTGAAGATCTAACTCCTGCCAATCTTCGTTGGACATATCTTTGTGCTTCTTTGCCTTATCCGTCAAAGCCTTGTGTAACTTTTGGGAGATTAGCAAATTTTTCATTTGCATCCTCCAATAGGAAAAATCATTTTTCCCATTAAACTTATCTTACTCATACTTCCCAACTGTGATTGTTCCACTTGTAGACGTCATTTACCCACTTGTTTCAGAATCTGCCTCTCTCAGGACTTATATCATACACCTTGTGTGCCATAATATATACCACCCAAACACCTTAAACCTGAGCTGTACTACCCAAATTTGATATCCAGCTTTGATAACAATTGTTGGTCAGCAAAAGACAGAGTAGAAAAGACGAAAATCAAATAACCTGGTTTCCCAATCGTACTCAAAAAGCGAAAATAGGTAATGATAATATAACTAAGCAATTAAAGTAAATAAAGAGTAGAGACAATGCAACAGAGATTTACATGGTTCAGCAAGATTACCTACATCCACACCAAAAGAGATAGCCCTTTTGTATTAGGTTAAGAATCGGCCTCCTTTCCCTTTATAAGATACCAGTGTTTTTCTATTTTGCTTACTTTTCTCGTCTCTCTTACTGCTCTCAACATTTGAAGGTAGCTTACATATACAAGAGAATGAGCCTTTTTGACCATGGGCCAAGTATTGGGCCTTTTTTAGTTGATCAGAATATTCTTCCTGCATAAGGCGTGCCCACGCCTTATGACAAGAGATGTTATGTTCCAGCTATTCATTATAATAAGATTATTACTTGAATAAGGTATGTCTACGCCTTATTACAAGATAGCTTCTGCCCAAGACATTTACAGAATGTTTTTCATTTGATGGACATAATTCAAAAACTTGTTGCACATTGAGTTAACCACCACAATACATATACTTATATGAACAACATTCTCTTCACATAAGATACTCTTACAGACAATGTCTGTATGATCCACATAGTATGAGGTGAAAAAATGGTTGAGCATGTGAAGATTTATGGCAGATGATGGTTTATCTCGCATGTCACTATTTTCCACGATGCATATATTGTTCCATAATTTTTGTAGTCGACTTTAGGTGTATATGATCTAGATCTTGGGTTGCTGTTTGTATCCAATTCCTTATTTCCATTCAGCATATTCACTTTGTTGGCCCTGTTTAAGGAGAAGAAGATGGGTGGTGACACCACAAAATGGAAAATGGAAAAAACAAATGGAATCTTATATCTTTTCTCCTTTTCATATAAATGATACACATGATTTCTTGAACATATGAACATGTTTTTCCTTCTTTCTTCATATTTATTTCGAAGTTTTTCTTTTCATGTTTTTAAGGTGATGAGCATTACTTTCTACTGTATAAGTTCATCAAGTGCATGCTTCAATATCACCTTGTTATCTGTTTTTTAGGATTTTCTTGTGGTAGAAGTGTTATACGGTATTCAAAGAGAGAACTATTTACATCCCCTTTCATGGAGTACCACAAACCAAGTACGAGTGTCCTAATTTCATGTCAAAAAGCTCAAAAATAAGTACAAATCTATGGAATTCAATAACACCCACTCATGCAATTCTTTGACCATCTCTTTTTATTACTTGTATTCTGGACATGATGTTGGCATCTGGTTTCTTTGGTCACCTCCCACGTGCCAAATTTGTTCCCATCAATTTTGTCCATACTTTGTTCATTCTCTTCTGAATTGTCTGCGGTCAGCAGATCAGTCACAAATATGAAATAAACTTAATAACTAGGCACACATCTTCAATAAGGATAAACTTCTGCCAGTTCATACATCTATCTGATGTAGGTTATAATCTGCAGGAATATTTCAAAAGTAATTGTTTGATCAAGATACTAGATATAGAATAATGAAAATTTAAAGATAAATTTGACAATACACAACGCAAGAGATATTACGACAGATTTGTAGATTGCATTCGTGCTTCAGTGGCGTTGTGTTGCTGTGGCATGGAAAGCTGGAGTTGAATGGGGGCATGTGGATCCTCTGTTATTCTTAGTGCACTTGTCACATTCTTGTTTGCTGCATCTACATCCCTTGTTGGATAAACCTGAGATATAAAGGACTTTTTGGTTCAAGTGACAAGAGTGCCAGGAGGTACTTGGCTTTAATTATTTACAAAATACCTGCTTATACAATCCCATATTTTCTTCTCGAACTCGGTTTATCTTATCATGCAGTTCCATGTTTTGTTGGTGAATGAAGTTCCCCTGCAAAACAAGTTTGATTACTTGACGGTACTTTCTCTAGACCATAAGATCTGATCAGTTTCCAAGGTTTAAGGTTGACCTTCTGCTTAAGTTCTTCTACTTCATTAACGAGAAGTTGGTCCTGCGAATTAAGTAATTGTCATAATGCAACTGTTCTTTGGAATAGTAATAGCTATCTAATAAGTACATCATTTGGAGGTAGTAGCTTCAAACCTTTTTCACACGGATACCTTGAAGACTCATTTCAAGTTGGTTCTCCAAACCCTGTAAGTCTCTGACACTTAAACCAGAAAGCTCTTCACCCATCATATGCCTAATTGTCAAGTCCAGTACAATCCCGTGGTCAAAACAATATTCCTGACCTGTTTAGCATCCCTTCATGAAGGATTACCTATGGATTTTTATTTTAGTTTTCAATTGCATCGTTAACCGAGGTGGGCCTTTGCCAGGTCAAATGATCATATAATTATTTCCGGAAAGTTCATCATGGTGCTGGAGGTTATATGCATACCATGATTGCTTATGGTTTTCTTATTATCTGGTGAAGTAAACCTATATTGGCAACTAGATGTGAAGAATGTTATCGTGGAAGGAAAAGTGAAAGTCTTTGCCGAACCTCCACTAGGCTTTGAGACTGAGTTTGGATCACGAGTATGCTTGTTGAAAAAAGGCCATTTATGGTATGAAGCAATCACCCCGAGCTTTGTTTGAAGGATTTACAAGTGGTGTGAAACGTCAAGGATATTCTCAAGGCCAGACGAATCGCATCTCATTCTTAAAAAAATGAAAAATGAGAAGATTATTGTTCGAATGATATAGGTAGATGACATCATAGTTACACGTGCTGATTACGAAGAAAATGACAACATGAAGTCAAGTCTGGCCTGAGCATTTGAGATCCAAGGATTGCACGATTAAAGAAGGGGACCATAGTAGGCGGACAAAAATACATTCTAGATCTTCTTTTTGATGTACTGACAACTGACATGCCTATACATCTCAATCAGAAACTCTAACGACATTCAAGGTTATCTGGTTGATGTTGGAAGATAAAGTTAATATACTCGTCTTACATAAGACCAAACATTGCTTCCGTTGTCAACTTGATTAAGCTGATTCATGCACTCTCCTAAGAAGGTTCATTTAGAAGCACTTTACCGCATTCTAAGATGGATGTCTCAAGGGATCTTCGGAAAGGGACTTTTCTGTGAGAGAGCTTAAAAATCTGTTCGAGTATTTACCAATGCAGCTGGGGCAGATTTAGTCATCGATAGAAGATGTGTAAGTGGATACTACTCATTTTGTATGGGGAAATCTAGTTGTTTGGCCAAGTAAATGAAAAATGTAGGCGTCTCTAAGCTGTGTTGAAGCATAGTTTCGAGCTATGGCCAATCAAACAAGTGTGGGAGGAGCTACAACTTCCATTAGATGGTTCTATTGCAACTATATTCTTACAACAAGGCTGCCATTATTGCTAATAATCATGTGCAACATGACAGAACTGAACACGTGGAAGTTGACATCGCTTCATCAAAGAAAAGCTAGAAAATGGAATGAAATACATGCCATATGTTCCAACTGTGCAGCAAGTAGCTAATATCCTTTTCAAAAGAACTTTTCAAACCAAGCTTTGATGGAATCACCAACAAGTTGGGTCCTGTAAATTATCTTTCCTATCAATAAGGAAACAAATTATCTATTAAAACTCTACCTTGTAGATTTCTAATCAATAGAAAAAATATTCTGATTTTCAATTAAAGTGTTACCTTAATTTATATACAAGTTCATAAAATAACACTTTTAATAAAAGAGCAATGCCAATTAGGAACTAATTTGTGTTCAATTTGGAGTAGGACTCTTCATTTTGGACCATGAAAGGTTATAAAGTAATCTATTTTCTTTGGGAACAGAGTTTGTAATAGGCATTTGTTTGTTAAGATGCTTTGCTATTTACTGTATTATGTTGACGAGATATGCATGTGTGTTTCTTAAGAGTGTCAGCAAGATAGAAGATTTACCTATGACTCTCTTGCAGGTTCTGTAGTTGTTGCTTTAGCATTGTAGCCTCCCTTTGCCAAAACTGTATATATTGAGCAAAGATATCTTTTACTCATCATAACTAGTTCAAAGCAACAAGCATCCAAATAATCATGAGTGCATATGATGGATTTTGAAGAAACAAATTCTTAAGAAAAGTTTGTTCCATTTTCTGAGAAACAAAATAGTAAGAGAAATTTATATGTGTTTCAATTACGTGCAGATTTGATAGCTAGATGATAATTTGTGGCAATTTTATGGGTCTTTTTGCTTTTGCTAAAGGAAAAAAGTTATGACAGAAGATTAAATTGACACTCCAGCACCATAGAAAATTCTGCTTCAAGTATGTTTGGTAAGGAATCTGGTTTTCATTTCTTTTCTATACATGCTATACATATGACCGATCATAAGTTGTTGAAAATTCTATAAAAATTAAGATGACATGATATTTTTCAGCTTTTCTTATCTTATAATGCAAAAAGTTGTTCATTATCTTTGTATGTGCATGCCATGACAATTGACATGTCTTTTAGGTTTATTTTACATGCTAACTTGTTATAGCCTTGTAGGTTAAGATGTGAGTCTGTTATTGTATAAAACAATATATTCCTCCCTAAACCTTCAATATGATATTTATAGATTCTGGACTGTTTTTTTGTTCAATGTTTTGCTTTTATCTCCAGTTTTTGGTTGGTAGACAATATAGAAATCTTGCATGTAAAACTTGATCATCTTTAGAATAGTCTCCATATTTTGCATAAGATAAAAGATTATGATCTTTTTCCTCTGTTGTACCTAAGCCATTTCTCTACTGTTGCAAATTGCAACTAACGAATGTTCAATGCATGGGTGCATCCAATCAAAGCAATACTGACATGATCCATCCATTTCCTGTTCGTTTCATCGATACACTATAGATAAGCAGTTAACTTCTTTTGGTGATCCTGTTGTATGTATGGAAACATTAGAAGTATAATAATATTCTTTTGGGTAACCTGTTCATAGTTTATCAGAAAAGCAAGCTTTAACTTTCATGGCTTTATATCAGCTTCTAAAGAATGTTTAAATGTTTCTCACTAGCCTATTGGGATTTTTACATAAGCAGGACAATAGCGAATAGCACCAAAAATTCATGAACTTTACCGTCTGTGGGACTGTACTTCCTATGTAATTAACAAAGCACAAATATCATATTGGATGGGTTGGATATTCTTTTATAATAGTCTGCTCTCATTTACATTACATGGGAGATATACCTCCATATTCAAATATGAAAATAACCTCTATGATTACAGTACTAATGGTGCATGTGTGCCTAGAAGATGTAGCAATCACATTAAACTTACGTACTTGCTTATTAAAAAAATATTATTGGTTTCGTGATAGCATTCAAGTGAAGATAACTAAATCTTGGGGTCATCTTTGCGATTAAGGGAAAATATAACTCAACATGTTCATTGTTGTATTCTTAAAGTCCTGCTTTTGCAAGTTCTATTTATGTATCAGTGCACTTTATTTACCTTGTATTTATTCATGCACACTTCTGAGTAACCAATGGGATTCGCATGTTAATGAATAGCCAACAAGATCCGTATGTTAAGGATATGTCTAAAGGAGGTTAGTTTGAGGGGCCTACTTCTAGCTTCAAAACTTTCAGATGAGTTGCATCTAAACCAGTTCTAATTCTCACATGTTAATAAATGCTTCCTGATCTTATAGGTAAATTTATGGTTTGTATGAGTTCACATTTAAGTTGGTGGAGCTTACAACTATTATATATTGTAAAAGTATAATTAATGATGTATAAGCTGATGCAGAAGTAGAGATTCAATATGCCTGGGTGGGATTTTAAAACACGTTCCCAATTTTCGTACTTATATGTGTTTGTGTTTTCCAGAAAAGAGTGAAAGATTGGAGGGAATACAGAATGGAGCAAATCTTCAAGGTTTTAAAGGTTGCATCGATTATAGGTGTAGACTCCTCTATTGTTGTTTTGGCATGTAAAATAACACATAGGAGAGGAAGTTACAGTTTCAGTCCATTGATCTGAGTTGTCATGCCAAAGGGGATAGAGAAGTTGTGATAAGAACAAGAGCATGTAATGAGTAGCCTTGTTGGATGAGGAACCAGGATCTTTGACATGCGGTAGATTGATCATTGATATGATGAGTGGTGTTTGGCATGAAGATGAGTACGTCTCTTAGAGCAAGTATAAGATGGATGGGGTAGGGAAGTAACGTCATGGTTTTTCTATTTGCTAGAGTTTGTACTCGTATTTTTCTATGACAATTATCTCTGGCAGGGTATATGTTCACCTCATCCCTAGTTTACGATAGACCTCTTATTTATCACCTATTGCACTATTGAAGGCAACCTAAGGCTCTGTCCCAACACTAGTCAACTCATGTCTAGGCTAGCTAGTGATTTCCGTAGGACTTGCTACTGAGGTCTATGAGTTGAGGTAGTTCCCTTTTGATTGCTTGTAGTCTTAACACGATGATATTGCCATTTCCACTACAAATTTGTTACTAAAATCCATATCGTTGCTGTTAAAGTAGGCATGTATTATATATTTCACAGCCTGAATTGGAAATATTTTGCTTCTTCGTATATTAATGTGTGAGAAACTATGTGCCAAACTTCAACTATCGTCAAGTTGAAAGAGACATGAAGAGATGTAATCAGCAAATCCGAACCTTGATTTCTTCTGTAACTTCCTCTTGTTGATTTCTTCCTTAACCTGTCATTAGGTTGAAAAAGAAGCATGGTCAGGACCTGAAAGCCTATGATGTAGGTTTGTGATAGTTCAAAGTGCAAGGATGAGAGATTGCTCATCTTCCCTGTGTTTTTATTCTTGTAGCTAACATTCACATATGTCCCTACGAGCATATAGCTAATTGCCATTTTTTGGCATGCTAATTATTTGCTTAAGCTTTAACATAAGCTTGCATCTTAAATCCGATCAGAGCTTTAGTTTGATATGGCCTTGAGATGAGGTCTCGTGCCTAGGTATGTTCTGCTGCAGTTTGTTGGTTCAACCATCTCATGGGGCCTACTCACCATATAATGTTGATAATGTTATTTGGGCCTTCCTCATACAATTCCTGAGTACTTGGGTTACACATGCTTCACATTCTTTAAAATGTTTCTTGGAAATTAGTAGCTATCTTATCTAGTTTTCCTACATATGAGAAGCCTGCAACAAATCTAATGAAGAATTCATTTCAAATTAATTAGGAGGGGAAGTAATCGTTTCTAAGGTACCCCCAGTGCCCCAAGGCTTGTGGAATTTGTGCGATCTAGAGCCGTAAACTGCAATACGACTTGCTATCACGGCATGATACTTCTTGGTTCTTGTTCCTACCATTAGACTTGATGTCATCGGTCTTGCTGTCGACCTTAATTCCAACCATCATTCTCTCTGGCTAACTCACACTTTGCTATTTCTAGTCTTCTCGTTGTTGCTTCCTGAAATCAGCAACATAACTACTGTTGTACACCAACAACAACATTAAGCTTGTCTCATCCTCCTGCCACCACTGTTGTACAACACCAAATGCTGTTAATCTTAATCATAATGAGCAGCATGTCCTCTACTAATGCCTCAGACGGTTTACATGTTAGTGTATTGAATCATCAAGGTACAATACATAAATGTTTTATGGTGCACATTGATAAATTTGCACCGTAGTAGTCCTTGTATTTATCCTACAAGAAAACTGGTTGGAACTAGATCTATAAAATTAATATATTATCTATGTTCCAAAATTAGATATTAATCTAATTTCTATGAGAAAGCTTACTCAAGATTTCAATTGTGTGACAAAATTCTTTACTAATCTCTATGCACTTCAAATGGCGTATTCGGGGAAGGTGACTAGCAGTGTTGAAATAAGTGGTGGTCTCTACATTCTTAAACAAGGGAGTTCAAACTTCAGCTTGTATTCCATTACAATGTCTTCCATATTATGGTTGTACCTCAAATGAACTTCTTATGGCACTTATGTGTTAGACATCCAAATTTTGTCTCTCTTGAAAAACCATTTATCAGTACAAGATCCAAATTTTGTTATTGTCAAGCGTGTCAACTTGTAAAACATGCTTGACACGTTTACCTTAGGCTTAGTGTAGCATCCCATTTTCCGGGGCTAGAAGTTTTATGGAAACGTTGGTTCACTAAAAGGAGTAGTATGTCCTGTACTTCATTACTAGGCCTCAAAGATAAGACGATAATGTATATACATGAATACGTACTCATATGTGTAAACGTATATTAAGATATATATATATATATAAAAGGAATTTTATGTATTAATGTATTATCGAGATCAAGACTAAACGGATATTGTATTCTTGCTCGATAACTAAAAACAAGGATAACAATATGTTCGAATTTGGATTTGCTATCCAGTTGATGTTAAAACACCGTAAGCTGAATCGAAAGTTTAGGTATATTTAGATCAGTTATTAAGGGGCAATCAAACACTAACCGGGTAAGCGCTTAGTATGTACTTTGTAACTATGATCCATCGTGAAATGTTTGGCTTAAAGTAAACTATGTTTCTTTGAAATCTAATCGCTCACGTGTTTTTCTTGTTTATATATGAATGGCTATGAACTCGGTTGCTAATACCCTTTGTTCGGTCTTGGTAAGGAGCCAGAACGTTGGGTGTTACACAGTTACACTTACTCTTCCATATACACCTTCCTATCCTTTTGCCATAATACACAGTGATGCTTGGGACTCTCAAGAGTGAAACATATTAATGCTGCTAGATGATTTGCATCCTTCATGGATGATCACACTAGAACCACCTGAACCTTTCTCGTGAAACAAAAACATGAAATTGAAAGTATATTTTATTAATTTTCACTCCATGATTCAAACTCAATTCTAAATGAAAATGTAGGTCCTCAAGACAGGCAATGAAAAAGAATATTTCAACTCCATTCTTGGTCCTTATCTTTTTTATTAAGGAAGCATTCATGTCAATTCTTGTGTCCCCCTCAACAAAATGGGGTAGCAGAAAAAAAAAATAGACA